CTCCAGGAGGGTGAAAACAGCGCTTGGCACTCCGCCACGCCGGTTTGGTGAAAGTGATTCTTGTAAGGGCTTCTCTGCCTTGCCGAGGGGGGCAAAAGGAGAGCTATAGTTTGTAGTGAAATTCTCGGAGCGAAGGACTCTGGGGAGTGGACGTAGGTCATGGTTTGCCGTAACCACTATTAAATTTCAGTGTGCTTTTCCTTATCACTTTTTATTGTTTGCTTGCACTTTATTTTCATAATATTTGCTTGGTGAAATTTGTGAAAGAAAAAGGATTTCATTGTTGCATGTTTGAGTTTAATTATTTGCCTTTGTAGTAGTTAAAGTTTTCATGTTTAAATTTGAAAAACACCAAAAAAAAAAAAAATAGAACTCTTGCTTAGGTTTTTAATTACTGCTACAAAGTTTTCACAATTCACCCCCCCCCCCTCTTGTCAACCCCCCCCCCCCCCCCCCTCTTGTCAATCTAGTAATTTCAATATTATTTTACATGTTACTTTTTGTTGGTTCCTTTGGCAAAGTAGGAACGAGTCGAAGCATGACAACATTACAGTGAGACCATTATCTTTAAAATTAAAGTTAAAGTGAGACAATCATATTTGACAAACTTGATCAATAGGGAATTTTTCAATAGTTGTTTTCAAAATGCTGAGCATTTTAGTATTAATACTGCTCCTAACATCCATTCTCCTAAAGACATTATGGTTAGATGGATTAAACCCACTCAGGATTACTACAAACTTAATACTTATGGCTCTTTTAAAGATTTGAAAGCTGTGTGTGGTGGTCTCATCCGTGACATTAATGGTCAAATCATTGTGGCGTTTGTAGGTCCCTCGGATGTTCATACTGCTATTATGGTTGAAATTTAGGCTTTAAAGTATGGGTTACAATTATGCATTTCTTTAGGGATTACTAATATTTGGATTAATGTGGATGATATGCTTGTGATTCATTATATTACTGATAAATTAAATGTCGATCCCTCTTATTTCTATATCATTAGAGAAACTAAGGAATGGTTGTCACTTATTAATTTTTTATAACTCACAATTTACATAGAAGGTAATGTGGCTGTTGGTTTTTTAGCTTACTTAGTTTGCTGTTTGTTGTATTTTATGGAGTTTCAAGCCACTACTTCCTATCAAATTGGTGGGTTTAGCTAGACTGGACTGCCCGGGCTTTCCTTATGTTAGAGTTAATTAAATGATATATTGTCCAATGTGTTCTGAGATGGTGTTTGCGGTTTATGTCATATATGTTTCTTTTAGTTTTATTACTCTTTTAATGTAAGAGTTATTTAGTATCATTGCCTTTATTTCTTATGTGGCAGAGTCCTTTTTCTGGTTGGTTTGCATTGCTTCCTCATTATTTGTGGGGCTGATCAGTGTTGTAAATTATTAGCCTTCTTTACTTTACATGTGGTGTTAGGTTGTTTTTTCTTCAGGGTGGCCCTACCTTTTAGGGCGGGGGTGGTCATTTCATGTTTATTATCATGTTTTGGATTTTCCTTTTTAAGTGGAAGTTTACCTTACTTCTCCATATTGCATACATGTTTATTCCTCAATCTCATATCAAGCATGGTTGGATGGGGTATGATGCAAATGATTGTTATCTTTTCCAGGAGATGGCATTCCTCGGAATCTTCTGGGACATCCCATCATCGGGCATAGATGGTTTCATTCTTTGATTTTACTGATGATTAATCTCTAATTTTTTTTCACGGAATGTATGCAACAGCTTAAGTCTATTACCTATAAATTCCTTTGTTTAAATGTGATGTTGTTCCTTTTTTTTCTTTCGGTTACGGGAATTTTATGAGGCGTTTGTTATCTGCATACATGACCGACAATGTGAGCCTCTACAATGCTTCCAACAAGGGTTTTTTCATAATTACTAAATGGGATCGTCTCATCTATATTTTATATTTTGTTTATTGGTTTCAACTCTTAACTCTTTATATGTTCTTTTGTTACCTCTATATTCTGCTGTGCAATGTTTTTTTTTATAGTCTTCTTTTATTGCAAGCTCAAGGAATTTCAGATCTTCTGGGCAAACAAGTTATTTTTTGTAGGAAGGTTGTGCTAAAAGTCTTTATAATTATCTTACTTCTTTGGGTGCAGGCTCCTGACCACCCTAGAATGTTATTAAGTGATTTTATAAATCTTAGTATAGGGAATCATCGGCTCATAGATTTTCTTTTACCTTTTTTTGTAGCTCAGCCGAACATTAGAGAGCTGAATGTTTCAATTACGGACCATGTAACATTTTCTTAATATTATTGAGTAAGCCTGATCACGTTTTTTCCCAAAAAAAAATTGACATATCAATCCACCTCTCCAGAAAAAAAAGCTTGGATAGATATTGCATTCCCGCCCTACCACCTATGATTGTATATTCAAAGATTTGTCCAAATTAATTTATTTGAATTAGGTTTGACTTTTGGTTGATTAGATTGATTTAGGATGACATAGGTTAACTTTGAGAAGAGTGTATATAACTTAGGTCATATAAAGACGACTCAAGATAGCTGCATCAACTTATGAAATGAGTGATCTAACAAAGTCCATCACCAAGAAAATGACCAAAGCTCAAGGAACATCATGTGAAGTGTGACTAGAAAACAACCCTCATGTATGAATTAGAAGCTAATGAAGTTGGGAGATATAGAGTAACCTAGAGAGATTGGGTTGGACCAATGTTATGGCATGAACATAGTGGCTACCACCCCTAAAAAATTTGAATTGGGTGCATGTATTAATTGAAGAACCAAGTTTTAAGTGAAGAGACATATTCTATATTAACTTAGAGAGAACATGCGAGATATAAATGGCCTAAGTAATAAGAATGGATCCAAAAAAATAAATAGTACTCTATTTATATTTTAGGATTTGGCCCTAAGTAAATATTATCTTAACTAAGTATTACTTTAAAAAAATTAGCATGAGTTTTCTCTTAATATTTTTTCCATGGAAAATTTGAAGGTGGTGGTAAGCAGAGAGCTATAATCTGAAATTTATTTTATATGGTGATAAATTTCTTATGTATGAGATGATAAACTTAGATGATAATCTTATGTATCATCATTCATATCCTAAACTTATTACCAAAAGATGAAACAAGCATATCCATCAAAGATTCTTAGGGAAGAATTAGAAATTTTCCTATATTGAATATATCATTTATTGGGAATTGTGGCAAACCATGATGAAATATGGAGTAGTCCTATATGGTCAGCACTTAGGTGCACCGCCCAGGCAGGCCAATGCTATGGGACGGTGACAACGACACCAACCAGGCAACTAGGCATGCCAATGCAAATGGGATGGTGGTTGCGGCACCGGCCAATAGCACTAGACATGACGTCATTACGTGACACACGTTAGACACATCCACTTGAAGATACGTCTTTAGCGCCGATGAGACAACAACATCATCATAGCACAGTGCAGACATGTCTCGTGCGATGTTCCCAAGTTAACCCGGGTTACGTTCAAGTTTTCGGATCATCTCAAACCCAACATATTTTTTCAAACGGGTTGAATCCGAGAACCAAAACTCGACCCGTTTGTAAAATGGATTAATCCTAAAACAAAATTTTTGAGCCAAATTTTCAGATCTTGTAGAATACTGACTTTCCTAACTGTGTTGTCTATAACAAGCCTAGAGGGAATAGTTGAAGTAATCCAAAAGCTGAAAAATAATAGAAGCTAAAGGTGGCAATAACTATAGACCACGGGAATATTGAACATTAAGGTACTGCATGCGATTTGCTCAAAGGTGGAAAGAGCCACAAGATGTTTATTACTTTATATTATGTTTGTGTGAAAATAAAAAAAAGTTTCTTTATATAAAAAAAAATTATGTTAACCGACATAGGAGCATGGATAATGGTAAGCCACATGCAATGGCACCAGTGAGCAGTAGGATCCTACAAGTGGTCAATAGTGAATTTTATAATTGGCATCAGAGCATAGTTTATTGCTATAGCTATTGCAATGAATGGAATTATACCATCAGTGATACTTCCAATGATAGTAGTGGGAGGTAGCTCATAATCAGTATTAATAATGACCTCACAACATCTCTTTAACTTTGATAGACTACATTTACGATCATCACCATATCATCATCAACGGGCAAAAGATCATTGTTATCAACTGACATGAATGACAACGTAATATACTAACAATAATTGAATTTTGGCCTACAGCTCTTGACTTTATAATCTCAACTAGCTTGACTCAATAACACCCCTAGTTCACAATCTTAACTAAACCAAATATTGGTTTAAGATAATTGATTGTATTTACCTTCAAGAAAACTTTCGCATTAAAGAAAAAAAAAATTCTAAAACGTAGAACAAATTTAAAAGAACACACTTCAAAATAGCTAAAACAAAACCAAGTACATAATTTTTCATGTATCCTAGACCCAAAAAAAATTTCAATCCATTTTGTAATAATCATATTTTATTTAGATGCCAACATTTTGATGAACTTGTATACAACAGAGCGGACAAACATGTAATTAATAAAATTAAACCAAGTGATCAAAATTTAACAAAAAGAGTGCCTCAGTAGCACAAAAAAAATTACTTCTATACTAATTAAATGAAATAAATCGAAGTATTGACCAACTAGGAAATCATTAATAGGCAGTTGGAGAGGAAATGATTTTTTAGATGATTGTTTTTCAATTTAAAATGATTTGTGGTAAATGAATTATATTAGGAGTGTGAATAGTACAGAAAAATAAACTGAAGCATTTGATACAAGTTGAACTTATCATAAGCGGCCAAAAGCTATCTATGCACAATAATGAAAGCATTTGATGCAAGTTGAACTTATTCATAAGCAGCCAAAACCTAACTTTTTGTATGAAAATAAATATACCTATTATAAAAAGTTAAGGAAATGAACATGAACATACAATAAATAGCTTGCAAATAATAAAATAAACAACGAACATAACACACCATTGAAAAAAAAAAAAACTCATAAAACAAAGATAATGAAAATCATAATTGATAAATTTTAATTTTTTTCCGCAAACAATTCATACCGCCAGCAAACATAAAGGCACGGACTAACATAATCCATAATGTTTTCCAATGGCTAATTATGTTTTTTAACTGCCTACGATAACATAACAAATAAGAGCTTTCACGTAAAACTCGGACAAACAGGACCCTTAGAAATGCCAAGGTGAACTTCCATGGCGTGATGCATGTCGACTGGGCGGAATGTCTCAGCATCTTGAGGCACTGTAAAATTTATATTAGAAGAAAAAAAAATTAAGAAGATCACTAAATAGAGGTTGTAGCAAGAAAAACAAAAGAAACTTGAAACCACTATAATAAAAATACTAGCAACATTAAGGGTTATTCATGACCGAACCCATTCCCCATGTTTAGTTTTAATTTAAAGGCAGTAAACTAAAGCTGAAACCCAAATCGATTTATGATGATAACCAAGGATGAAGCCATAAGAATCACTTAAACAGCCAATTCATAAAAAGTGATCGCTATATTTTAGCTCTTTAATCTGGTTGAAAATGTGAAAAAAACAGAACGCAACAAGAACAATGCTATACCCCTCAAACAAACCAACAAATAAAATGAGTTTCATGTATTTGTATCAGATTAGCATATATGCAATATTGTTTTCATTTTATATAGTCAATGCAAGCATTCAAACACCAATGTACAAAAATTTGTAAAATCCCAAAACTTCTGAGATAGTATTTCAAATGTTGCATTGCTTAAGCGAAAAAGAAAAAAATACATTGGTCCTTGTTAATTACCTGTTAGGAAGAGAATGCACGAAATTTCACGGCATGCTTTAGCAGCTATGATGCATAGACACGGACATGGCGACACAGATATAACACGACACGGACACGTTAGTTATTGAAAATATAGGACACGGACATGGGTTGGACACGGTATTATAGTTTTAATATTTAAAAAATAGTGTATAAAAATTAAATAAGTATAATTTTAAAAATAATTTGAATTAACTTTAATTTGTGCTTAAAATGATTAATATTAGGATGTCGAGAATCAGGCGTTGATGTCGTTTATCAGTCACCGAGAGAGGAGATGAAAATACCTTCACTGCTAAAAAGAAATGAAAATGAGATTATTCGATGATTGGGTATTATGTGCGGACATTGATTTGGTGTTGTGGATAGGAAATAATAAATTTTAGTTTAAATCCCGCCAAATACAAGAAATTATATTTGAAAAAATTCATAAAATATTTAAGATACGCGTGTCAGACACGCGTGTCTAATTTATATTTAATATTTTTTAATCGGACACGTTTTCAGTGTGTCCGACACGTGTCGGAGGAGTGTCGGGCGAGTGTCGTGTCGGACACGGTGTCGGACACTGCACGCCTCTTTGAAGAGAAGTGTCGGTGCATCATAGTTTAGCAGCCAAGGAAAATGAAACGAAGAAAGTCAATTTGAACTTCTATAAAATATTTTTCCATTATAAATCACATTTTGCTTTTAATCATTCATCATACAATCCCGTGTTTGAAATCAGTGGCCCCATTGCTAAGTTCATTCTATTCTAGAAGTCCTGAGTTTTAGGATCAGTTTGGAATTGTTGAGTTATGCAATGATGTTGAGTAAAGCAAATGACTGCTTCATAGAAATTGTTATGTAAAGTGCTATATGAGTTATAGTTGTTAGATAAGAAGTTATTGTGGCACTAATAACATTGTTTGAATGGCTAAAATAGATATCATTATGAATTGATAAACTATTCTGAATTAGTAAAAAATTAATTATAATAATTTATTTATTTATTAAATAAAACAGATAAAATTCATAGAAGTACTTTTGTGGAAAGAAAACTTCTTTCTACTTTTATGCAATTGAGTTTTACCTCACAGAAGCAATATCAAACAACCTAAAACTGCCATGATGTTTAAATAAGCATAAGCAGGAGACAAGGCATTACCAAACGAACCTTTATCCTTTTCTTAAGCAGTGCTTACTGCTGCTGAAGCGCCAAACTGAGAAAATTCTCATTACCTTCTTCTTCGAGATAAATTTTGGTTCTCTCCCCTGCCCTAGGTGCAACCTAAGCTAAGCGCCCTCCCACTCTTGCTTAACTCTGCTGTACCTCATTGTTGGAATCTCTGCTTAAATCCTCTTCTTTGCATTCCCAACGATGGGCTTCTTCTTCCACATGAATTCTCCTTTCATTAAACTTGGCAACTGCGCAATATCTTGATAACCATTCCCCTCTTGTTCTGCTATCATCTGCCTTCTTTTGTTCACTCCAACATAAGAAAATTGACGGGCAACTTCTTTCCCAAAATCTGATCTCTCATCCAGCTCTTGCTCCAGATTTTCTGGCAATGACCAACCCCCTTCTTTTCACTATATCTAAAGTTCATAGATATGTGTTTTTATTTTTTTATTTCATTATTTGATGAATCAACTAAGTTTGCATGCAATTGCGGGTTCGATTCATTGAATTGGGATCAATTGTGTGGTTTCTTTTTATAATTTCATGTGTAGTAATTCAATATTTGGTTTTAATAATGGATAAAAAATGTGTTATATGGATATTGGGAAGCATTGCACTATGCAACCTATGATTATTTATATTATTAGAGATTTTAAATTAAACAACAAAGCCGATTGAACAAAGGAAAATTTATTAAGAACTACACATTGATTGAAAATACAGGCGTAATATATTTGATATTATATTTTGCATTATTAATTATGACATCATTGGGTTGAAAATTACTTGTTAAGTTTTATCTTTCTCAGGTCTTTGCAGGTGACTTTCCATGATACTTATTGTCCTTTTGCATGCTACATAAAATAATTTCTATGCTTGTCATTACAAAACCAAAAAGACGTCTTATCAGTGCAACAATTAGTTGTGAATAATGCAACAGGATGTATTATTATTAATATTTTTCCTTCTTGAGAGGATCACTCTTCCTTTACTAGGGTTATTGATCAGTCTATCTATACGGATGAAGTATACCTATTCAAGCTCAGATGGCTCTATCTCTTGTTATGGTTTATTTCCATTTGGAGAAAGGCATCAATTCCATCCAACATGCTTATCTCTTGTTTTGTGTTTCTTCTATTTTATGAGGGCTTAGTGCATGCACTAGCTAAAATCTGAATGAAGACACCATTTAGACCAGTTGCTTGGGTCAGCCCTATTAAAATTCGAGAGCTCAAGTTAATGTTTTGATAATTACAAACAATATTCGTATGTTTACTTATTCCTACTTTACATATATCGCATATTTCTTTTGCGTGTCACAAGCCATTTCAGGTACAACATATACCGAACTAGATTGAAGAATTTAACACAATAAAGTCCAACATCAATGTCTGAGCCAATATGTAATGATAGAATCTTCATTTTTCTCTTTTCTCAAGTTATTTTATGTATTAGGTGTATGTTGGCAAGACAATTGTTCACACACAAACACAAAAGAGGAGAATAAAAATTGAATAATTAAAATTTTTCTATTAATCGTACTGTAAGATATGTTTAAATAAAAAATAATTCAAGTATTTAATTAAATTAGGCTATAACTAATCATGTCGTATGACCTTGAATCGTAAGGACAATCAACTATTTTGATAAAACCTCGCTCTCGAATCTAGGTTACCAAAATTAAGCAAAATTGAAATTTGAATTGATCGTACAATATGAAGTCTTTCGTACAGTACAACCATAAATGAAAATTTCCTATCTTTATTTTGTAGATTAATAAATCGAATTAGGATCAAATCTTAATTAATAACCTTACTGTATGATCACTATCATACATGACAATTAAAAAAAGAGCTCACTGGTTGAACCTTGATTCATCCTAGACGGTCCTTTATTCGATATAAATAATTGTATTGTAACAGGATGATCAATGATATCATTGAACTAATCATACAACATGATCCTATATTCGTACCGTACAATCAGAAGTTTATATTTGAAAATTAGGGTTTTCTAAAAAGCTCACTTTATAAACATAATAAAATGGCTTGAGGGTAAGATAGAGCTTAGTAAGAGATTTTTTCCATAGAGAGCGATTGAGAGGTGAGAGAGTCTACTTGCTTGTAAGAGTGTCCACATCACTTAAGAGAGAAAGAAGGTGAGGTTGAGGGAGAATTTTTCGTGAGGGTGTCAAGAGGTGTGAGGGAATTTACATAGTTGTGCTTGTCAGCCTGCACCTTAGATCCTCCATGTTGTGTTTGTGGATCTCTTATAGAAGAAAGAGCTTTAGGAAAAGTTATAGGCAAAAAACTTACTAACCGATGAGGGTATGGGATAATATCTCCACCGTAGCAAGGAGCTAAAGGGAGGGATTGGAATCTCCACCATACAAGAAGCTGAAATGATAGGCATATCCACCTGGCCAAGTGGTGAGAGGAGTGAGATTCTTAGGGGCTAGAAGAGTCCAAAAAGGCAATTCTCTGCCTGGTAAGGGAGAAGGGCTTCTCTGCTTGGTTGTGTGCTAAAGAAGAATGAGTTAGTGCAATACCCAAAGAAGAGAACTTTTGAGAAGTAGTCGTATGTCAATTTCAACCAAACCACTATAAAATCTAGTTTGTGTTTCTTTACATACCTGCTTTTATACTCATGAGTTTTGTGATTTACTTTGTTTAACTTTGTGAGCTTTGTAGTTGTTAAATCTTTTATTGAGATCTTGCTTACTATTCAAAACAAATATATATTATAAAAGTTTGAAAAACAAAAAAAAAAATGTTTTGTGATTTTGGTTTTAAATTTTTTTTTTTTGTAAAGGCTTCAGCACGTTACTTTGATTTCAAGTAAATAATTTTAAAATATCAATTCACCCTTCTCTTAGTGTGTCATAAGCACTTTCAAATAGTACCAGAGAGGAGTTCACATTTTGTTTGCTTTTACACCTTGAGTAGATCCACATAGCACACTTTAACAATAGAAATACTTTGGAAGAATATTCTATTACCCAATCACAACTTTTTGATAATATTTCTTCTGATTTCTGAAAAAATTGAATGTCAACCTTTCTTCAATCATTGATTTTCGTATTTCGCACATGATTCAAACTGATTATTCATTGACTTTTAAAATTGTGAATGGTGTTAAGATAGAAATACATTTTTCTAAATGGGATATAGATGATAGTGCTCTTACTCAACTTAATACGAAATGTCTTAAATGTTTTTTTATGCTTTAAAATCTAAAAATTATATGCAGGGTTCAACTTATACTAGTGATAAAAAAATTTAGGATAAGCATTGCATAACTTACGAAACAAATGAAGTGAAACAATCCCACATGAATTTATTTTACATAAATATAAACTATTCTGCAAGCAACCAAGTGAATCTATTTCTACCACGCATGCTAAGTTTATAAAAATAATTACATCACTATATGCTTTAGGTAATGAAATATTCAATGCTAAAAAAGTGCATAAAATCTTACGCTATTTACCTAAATCTTTGGATGTCAACGTTACTGTGATTTTTGAGTCACAATAACAATTTTGTATTGTAATAACACAGAAAACAATATTTTGGTACGAATGGACACCACCATATCACTTTGATAACCAAACGATCCAAGAGATTTTTAAACACAAGCAGAGGCATCACATTGACAAACATTGAGGTAAAAGTGCAAGGTTAGATAAGTTTTCTACTGACATTGTTGTAATGAATACAAAAAGTAAGGGCATATATGATCCAATTGTCTGAATATTAAGAAACACCCAACAAAAGAAAATGGTGTCAAGAAAGGATTAAATAAAAAGGGTAAGCAGAGCAAAGGGATTTTGGGCAAACTCATATTCAAAATCATTAGAGAAAGAAGCTTAAGTGGAGGTAACCAATTTATGTCTCGTGGTCAAAAAGAGAAGCAATGGAGAAAAAGGATTTGACTTATGTTAAGAAAGGTAGGGGTAGACCTAAAAAGACTTGGTTAGAAAATATTAGAAATGACCTTTCTTTATTAGGTTTAAATGAGAATTTGACTTTTAATAGAACACAATGGAGAAAAAGGATTCATGTAGCCGACCCCACGTAGTGGGATAAAGGCTTGATGTTGTTGTTGTTGTTGTTGTTGGTCAAAAAGAGAAGCAAAATGTTGGCCCTTAAAAGAGAAGCATAATATTAACTTAAGTGTTGCAGAAACGAACATGCTCAAGTGAATGAGTGGCTTTACTCTTAGAGATAGGATACAAAACAAGCACACACGAGAAAAGAATGGAGTAGCTCCAGCGGCAGATAAAATTTAGGTAGAGTTATCTTTAGATGGTTTAGTAGCATTAAACGGTGGCCTTGATAACCCTTTTAAGAGAGAAGAGGTATTTGATTTGGCTTATGTTAAGAAAGATAGAGGTAGACCTAAAAAGACTTGGTTAGAAATTATTAGAAAGGACCTTTCATTATTAAATTTAAATGAGAACTTGACTCCTAACAGTACATAATGTATAAAAAAAGTTTCATGTAACCACCCCCATATAGTGGGATAAAAGATTGATGTTATTGTAGTTCTTGGTCAAAAATAACAATGGTGACTTTGACAACGATCTAGTATACAATCTAACTTATGATAAATTATTTTCTCTTTAAAAATAATTGCATTAAACTTATAAAGAAATTGAAAAAGTGACCATGCCTTAAAAAAGAACATGCCACATTGCAAGAAGAGCATACCAATCTAATTAAAAATCATATAAGCTTAAAAACGGATTATATTGCATTAGAAGAAAAGCATGAGTTCCTAAATAAATAGCATATTCAATTATAAGAGGAATTTAAAGAGTTAGAGATAGATACATTGCATTTGTAAGAAGATGAACATGCATAAAAAATGGAGGTAGGCATATATAAAAGTGCAAATGAATTTTTAATAAAGGAAACCAAAGCATTTAAAGAACATGCATCAGGGCCTACACACATGGTTAAACCACAAACTACAACAAATATGCACCATCCTACTCTAGAATAAGACATCACTCATATAATTAGCGCATTTATTTTAGGAGTGAAGTGTTCTTCTTTCTACAAATTAGGGCATATTGCATGCATTTGCATTTTTAAATCCACTATATATCACATTTGATTTAAAGACCCAAGACATCATCTACAAAGGAGAATGCACACATTTGTCAAAATATAAGGTGGGACCCAAACCAAGTTATTTTGACACAGAAATAGAGAATTCCAATAAATTTCATATTATTTGCACTGCTCCCTTCTACCTTCTTTATAGTACGAATATGGTCCTGACTGTTTATGTTTACTCAATTCTTACTATAATCTATGCTACAACATGGACTTTAGCAATTACAGTTGGACTTCTGCAATATACTTTATTTTGTATATTGTTCTTTGCTTATCAGACGTTGTTGGAGTCTGATACTATATATATATATATATATATATATATGTTCGTAAGAAATTAATCATTTAAATTCCATGCACAGTTTGTGAATAGTGTAACTTTCATCTTTAATAAGAGATGCAACTTATTCTTCTTTACCATTAAAACCACTTGACTGCACTAAAAAGCATAGCTTAGCTTGATAGGCTTAGCTTTACTTAAAAACCAACCAAAAATGTCTTTAAGTAAATAATATTTATCCGATGAATCATATTTTATCTAGATACCAGTGGTACAGCACAGCATCTAGCATTCCAGATATTGAGCAACGGAACATGTCTCGAATTTAAAGAACAAAGGCACTAGGAGAAATTATCCTTAGCTAAGAAACAGTCCTGGAATGGTATTCATAACCTCAATGAAAATAAAAAAATCATAATATTAAGATGGTACTTTACTACATAAAACCGACAGAGATAATGGCACTTACTATTAAGGTAATCCTCAAACCCAAAATCTTCCAAGCCACCAGTGAGAGCTTCTAAACCTACCATGGAGGATGGTAGCATGCCAGGGGGCCTCTGAAATCTGCAAATTAGAAATGCCACATTGTCACGTGAGAAGAAACAAATAATGCACAGTGAATGTGGAATGACAAAGTAAATAACTGATCCAACATACAGATTGCTGATATACATACATGCTGATAAGAAATCTAACATGAGATTTAGCAAGAAAAGCTCATGCATGAATAGATATAGATGCATGGTATATTATAATATATTGCCATTCAATCAAGAACATCATTATTAACAGCTTATTGCATGCTGTGAAAAATTAAAAAAATAAAACACATTTCACTATTGGAATGAAGTACCCGTTGTTTATGACAAGAATACAAAAAGAACAAATCCATTTCTAAAACGGGAAAGCTACAGTCTAGTGCTAGCCAGTGTAACTAGCCATTTTCTCATTATTATAAGTGAAATTCCAATAATAATCTAACTCAAACTGTTTAATCAATAGAAAAATGCACTGTCATATAATGAAGAACAGAATAACACATGAAAATTCTATTCTACATAGCTTAAGGGAACTAAAAAAAATGCAGCGGTCATGTACGAAGCTTATTTTTATTACTGATAAAGTCTTATCAACCTTCATCATTAGCTTAATGTAGAGGAGTCAATAAATGACCCAGTCTAAACCCGATCCGAAAAATCTGAGCTCAAGTTGACTCGTTTAATAAACAAGTCAGTTTGGGTTGACCCCGGAACCCACTTTTGATCCTAAAATGCCCCATTTAATATCTTTTCTCATGACCAAAAAATGACCTGTTTAATTTCATTTTTCTTAACTTTTTACTATAGATAAAATATTCTTATTTTTTATCAAATATTCTAAACTTTATAGTTAATAAATTATAAATAAAATTTAATCAAAACAGATTAATAGATCAGATTTCGATCATTCAAATTGCTAGTGGGTTAGGTTTGAATTGATGATGGGTCGGGATTGGGTTGACTAGATTCGGGTCATGTCAATTTTAAGTTAGACCCGAATCTGAACCGTCAACCAATTTTGGCACCCCTAACTTAGTTAACCAAGACTTCTACACAAAAAACAAATGGTTTCTTGAATCTACTCAGGCAAGCCTACCAAATAGCTTCCACAGCAACCCCCAATGCACACTTGAAAGTGGATAATTAATAAAACCATTGTCCTTATTCTCTTTATAAAAAGGTTGCCTTCCAAACTTCTAAAAGCAAAAGTTTACCCATTTATGTGAAGATTTCTTTCATGACTGTTTGGATTAAATTTTAAAGTCAGGATTAATTTGGATAAAGCTAAGATGCAAACACTTCAAAAGGTATTCATGGTTGGACCCTCCAACGGATACCACAAGCATAATCCTCATTAACAGAACATGATCAACCTTTTCAAACTTTTTTATACCATTCGACTGTGAAACACATGTGTGAAGATAGAGCAGCACACGACATAAAATATACAAGCCAACTATACAAATACTGAAGATGTAAGGCAAGACATGTCTATCACATCTTATTAACTCACGCACACCAATGTGATAAAAAAGGTAGTAGCATAATCATTATCATTAAAACTACACCAAGAAAAATATACAATCAATATATAATCTCCAACAAGAAATTGTTCACCAAATCATGTGCATCCATACTCAATAAAAAGGATATAAAAAAAAAAAAAAAAAAAAAAAAAAAAAAAAAAAAAAAAAAAAAAAAAAAAAACTTCTAAAGTTTGCTCAAAAAAATTATGATCACTAGCACTATCCCAAAACATGATTGGGAGAGTTTATCTTTATTATAATATATCTCATTAATCATCTGTCATCACGAATTCAAAAATTTAAAATCTTTGACAAACTCTAATCATCCTTATCCTACATAGACTTATCATTACCATTCTCATCAAAGTGTTTGGTTACTTCACCTGTATGCACATTTTTCATCAAAAAATCATTAAATACATTTTTATTGACTACACTCATGGGCTCCTGGCCAATAAGAATAAAAATATTATTCTCTCAATTTTAAGAAAATGTTACACCACCATGGACCTAACCTTCTTCAAAAATCAAACATTCTTTCCCAAACATCACATTGAAAGGGAGAACATTAATATTGTGTGAGTATGAGCTCTTTGATAGCATTCTTCCTATTTTATTGATATCTCAATCTACACCTCTTCTAAACCTACCCGAATCATAGCCTATTGATGATCACATAAAATAGGGTACTAAGGAATTGTTTGCTCAGATCATAAGAAATTTTAGCTAATAAGGTAAAACAAAACATTGCTCCTGAACCAAACCTAATGTCTAACCAAAATCCTGACATCAATTCACAACGACAATGTAATACTAAGATAAATACTATCAAGGAAATTTTCTCTCGTACTACTTGTTTACATCGTCCACCTCATCGACCAAATATAAACCAATGTCTTTTTAAATGGGGATCTAGATAATGAAGTCTATCAAACATTTCCTTCTTGGATTTGAAAAATAAGAGTAACATGAATCAAATATTCAGAATTAAGAAATCTTTATATGGCTTAAAATAATCACTAATAAATCATGTTAAAGCAAAATCTCCATCATAATTATTTAAATTGATGATTTTATTCTAATAGGATATCATGACGACGACGACAACAACATTAGGCATTCATCCTATTAAATAGGTTCGGCTATATGAATCCTTTTTCTTCATTGTGACATGTTAAGAGTTAAATTCTCATTTAAATTTAATAAAAAAATATCATTTCTAATACTTTCAAATAAAGGCTTAATAGCATTCCATAAAATAGAGATAAATAAGCTAAAATGTGTCATAGCAAAAAAATTTAAAATCAATGATCTTAGAATACACAGACCAAGAAAAAGAGATAAATAAGCTGAAATGTGTCATAGCTAAAAAATTTAAAATCAATTCTCTTAATCTATTAAAATATTTCTTATACATGAAAATAGTTAGATCAAGAAAAGGAATAGTTATTCTTGTTGACCCGTTTCTCTCAAAAAAAAAAAATTGATATTAAAAAAAAATCAAATCACATACCTGTCGTGCACCATACCTTCGCATGTCGTGGCCACGATTGAAGTCGCATCCTCTAACGTCGCGCACGATCTCGCTCGCGACGTTAAAACGAGCACGAAGGCTCTCTTACACGGGCTCTCGCTCATTCCCGAGCTCGCTCTCACTCTCTCTCTCTCTGACTCCTTAGTGGTTATTCGACGAAGCTCCTTCGACGACGTTCCCTTTGGGTCGGATCGAAAGTTACGACATTTCAATTGGAAGCAAGAGGGGAGCTCACCGACAATGAAGACAACTTTCTCCCTTGCGTGTGCCTCTTCCCCGACTCCTTAGGCTGTTCGACGAAGCTCCTTCGACGACGTTCCCTTTGGGTCGAATCGGAAGTTAGACATTTTGATCGGAGGCCGCAAGGGGAGCCCGCTCTCTGTGAAATTAACTTTATCCCTTTGGCGCCGCCGCTCCGGCCTCTCCGTGGCTGTTCGACGTTTTCGCTCCTTCGTCGACGTTCCCTTCTTGTTCGATCGGAGCAGCAACAGGAGCTCCGCCGGCTATGAAGGTAACTTTCTCCCTTCACGCGCTACTCCGGCCAAATCCCGTGAATCTGCCGCACCAAAGGAGGGGAGGGAGAGAGATGATTTATTTTAATTAATTGTTTTTTTTTAATTGTAATTATTTTAATTAATTTTAATTAATTACAGTTATTTATTTTTAATTAATTATAATTATTATAATTAATTATGTTTAATTTTAACCAGTGCAACAGGTGCGACGAGGCGGGTAAGCCCTATACACGCTCTTGTAGCGTGGTGGGGACAGTCCTCGAAATCAACTATCCAACTACTTAAAGCAAAATTCATCCACCCTCCGCAACAGTTGGTGGGGTGGACAAACTAAAAACTACTTCAGCTCACAAAGGGCTAAATGTCTTGTCGAAAATATCACTAAGATCCATTCTCAAACAATCTCCTGCCAGTAAGGACGTAGTACGTGTCCTCTAACCGACGGTTTTACCGCCAAATGGCACCACAAGATAAACGGTTATGACCCGAGGCCCTCTGAACCGAGTGGTTTTGCCGCCAAATTGCACCACGAAATACCGGTTATGGCCAGCGCCGATACGTTCCTTATTGGTATCAAGTCCTTGAGATATGAATCAATAGGATATGATCGATAGGGCACAAAGCTCTCAGTTAGCTAAGGTGAATTCAAATTTGTCCCCTTAGGCAAACATCCAACCCAGGTCTACAAGGTCTCCTTGGACGAAACAACCCATGGCTGCCGACAAGGATCCTTCTGTTAGATTGGGTCGACTACCTCCTCTGACTAAGTAGACCAGGGACCACGATGGCCCGGGACGACTGAACCATGGAATCTTGATCGGGTCTATCATTCATCCCCCCACCATCCTCTTTAAGTGCAAGGTGGTGAAATTTTTTTTTAAATATCAAATCTGCCCAAATTTCCAAACTTCCAAACATTTTTCAAATATCAATGTCTATTGCTGCTACTATATGCCAAATAACACGTATCTCTACGTATCTGATCGATGACTAGCCTTAATCGAAAGTTCTCTCTCGTGATTGGGAGGGGTAATTAACTATAGGGGCTTGAGCATATAGGAAACCAGAACTCATATCATAAAGTCCTCGAAAAATGAGGACGAAATCTCTGGGTAGTGTCTTATCTACAATCCATTTTCTTTCCAAAATTTACCCCGGAACTTATCAGTTAAAACTCCCTCGCCGAATAAAAAAGAAAAGCGGGCGGAGGTCGGGGCCGAATTTTCGGAGCCCACATTTCTCAGCAATATATCTTGAATTTACTAAATGAAACAAAAATACTTGGATGCAAGCCTACAAACACATCAATAGATTATTTAAACAATTATAATTAATGGAGATTCAACTCCTGTTAACAAACATGTACAAACAGTTAGTAAGAAAACTCATCCAAATGCTATAGGCTAGATATTTATTCTCATATGAATGTTGCTAGTCAATTTATGAATAA